GGACGCAGCGGTCAATGCACTCGTCGCCCAGGGCACAGCGCTGCTGCTGGAGGTGGAGGGATGCAACGGCGAGGGCTGCGGCGTCCAGGGCGGCATCATTCGCATCGCGCTGGCCGCCTCCATGATGGAACGGGCCACTGTAAATCTAGGTGAGCCTTCTCTCCGTAAAGGATACGTAGAAACGTGATGGCATGGAGGGTGATACTTCGGCGCACAAGGCAACTTCGACACTCTCGAAAGTACCTATATTGAAGCAAAAATAGGGTATTTTAATGAATCCCTGGACCGGAAGTCGAAGAACAAAAGAACCAAAACCGCTTCTGCGCATGCGCAGACGTTCCCCCCTCCACTCTGAGGCAGCGTCTAAGCATGCGGAGAAGTGGTTTTGGCTCTTACTTTTGTTCTTTGACTTCCGGTCCAGGGATTCGTTAAAATACACTATTGAGTTCATATCATTGTTTGGATTGCTGTTGAACATGAAGGTGGTGATCGAAGTGCTTCTAGAACAGGTGCAAATTATCATTACGTGCGTTTTAGTGCCTGCCGAAATCACCCAGGATGCCGAAGTCACCCCAGTTTACGGCACTGAAATTAAAGACCGTAGAAAGGTGACACTTCGATATTTGACCGAAAATGAGTGATCCTTTTTTCCACCGTCGAAATCGTCAATGCATTTACTGAAGGCTATGGATAGACGAGGGACCGTTTTCGCCGTGCATAAGATGTTATCGTGACCCTTATTCCAAGTTGCATGCATCACATTGTAGTGAACCCAGTAATGAACAGTTTAGTATTTTTACCAGAATTCTAGTTGAGTTATATTCTACCAAACAGTCGGTATTTGGTATCAGAATCCTGTTTATCGTTACTAGACATTTTTTTCAGTGTGAGAGAGTATACTATTTTTTAATCACGCCGAAATGTGATAATCTTGTCTAAACCGTTGAAAAATCTTAAAGAATTTTCAACCCCATAAGGTTAGGTAAAAAATCAATTGTGGGTCACGAATCAATTGTGGGTCATTTTTTTCGACGGGTCACCGCAACCCCGACGGAGATTGAATCGATTTGAATTTCGCGGTAGACCTTCCTCCAACCTTTCTTTGTCTCCCCAAATAGCGTGTATGTCCAAGCGACGACTGTAACAGCTCCTATCAGGCTTCAAAGGAAGGCCCTTCAAAAAGTCGTGAAAAAAGCGCCCATCCAACGAGGCGAAAAATCGTTTGTTTTTCAAATTATCACCGTGAAGCTATTACGAGGTAAAACGGGACGTCTTTGCTGATTTAGGTTCATAATAGGTCAGGGAACATAAATTTACCATAGTACAGCCGAAATCATTCGATGCCATGGTGCGCGGGTGATGGCAAAGTAGCGTTCGCTACACTCTAAAAAAAATCAGTACAGAATTTTGTAACATGGTTACGCAGCTTTTTCAATAACATGTGTTACAGAAATTTGTATCACGATGGATACAATTTTTTTTCTTTGTAACTTGGTTACAGAATTTCGTAACGGTTACAAAATTTGTAAACAGTCGTTATTCTTCCAAATCAAGCTTCAAAATGAGAATTTTGTTCGAACGTAGTCTCCGTGGGTCTGATTGAAGGTCCTTATGCCATCCTTCGAGTCACAACTTTCCCAGATGTACTCTGAGAAATCGGGAATCGAACCCCTAACTCTGGGTTGGCGGCCCGCCACGCTACCAACTGCGCTGTGCGGACGCCGTGGAGGGAGCGGCGCAGGTAGCCGGTGACATGAGGCGCGCGTGGTAAGGGACGGAGGCCTTGCCAGCCAAGCATACACGAGACTGAATCTCTTATTCAGAGTCGGGAAAAATAAAAGCACATGAAAACTCTAAGTTTAACTTGTCTCTATGGGCACTGCTGTTCAATTTTGCCGTTAAAACATTATGTTTTAATCTCTGATACAGAATTTAGTATCCAGTTACAATTTTCTGTATCAGTTATGTTACAAACATAATATTGTAACCTTCATGTAACAAATTTCTGTATCAAGCTCCAAAATGATTCATTTTTCTGTAACCGGCACATCTGATACAAAATTCTATATCACTTATACAAATATTTGTAACCAATGCAGGTAATACAAAATCCTGCATCAAAAATGATACAAAATTCTGTAACTTTTTTTAGAGTGTACCATGTCCGACCCATTATTTTTGACGAATTTTGCGGTCGTTTTTCTTATATTTTTTGTTTTCTGCGCTTCTAAATGACTGATGTATCACAGTAAATTCCATTTTTCTGCTCAGTCACATATAGTACTACGATACGAAGGTTGTTAAGCTTAGGCTACAGCCCCGAATGACAACGCTAGCTCTTACTTCCGGTCCGCCATAAGGCTTTTTTTGTTGGGAAGGGGGCATTGCGGGGCTTACATAGCGCCCGGAAGGGGACCGCTCTCTAACTGCAGGCTAGGCACTCGAGGCCAGTCCGGCCCTGTAGGAGTCAAATCAATCCCTACAGACTAAATATTCTGACTGAAATAGATTATAAACTGTAGCAATACCTCACGATGACAGGGTGTGGTGTTGGATTGTCTACCACACCGGCGGCCCTAGAATATGCACTATAAAAGTTTCGTCTCTAGTCCAGGACGTTTAACTCACATCTGTCTCACAGTGAAATAAGCCTGTTTATGTCGGTTAGTGTATTTTTCCTCTTTGAGTGAAAAGCGTGCCTGCTTGGTTTATTGAGAACCGGGGACCTTTTATTAATAAAAATAAGAAAATATCTTGCGAAAGTGGTCTATTTACAAGCAAAAAGACGAAATGGCCCACAATTGATATGACCCAGAATTGATTCATTGTGCTACAGATCCTGCAGTTTTCACGATTCCGAAAAATAAATTCAAAAGTGAATTCCTCTCGCATTTAAGCAAATCATATCCAAATTTGAGCTTTCTACAATGCTGACCCACAACTGGTTCCAAAAATCAATTGTGGGCCAAAACAGACTATTCTTAAAACAGCCACAGCTTAGTGAATATGGATGATAGACGGGGCTACTATGCTGCAAAACGTAGTCCAAGGACCATAGTTAAAGGCCGCACATGCACTTTTGTCACCAGGTCAAAATTAAAGGCCTTAATGTGGAATTTTCAAAAATGTGACCCACAATTAATTTTTAACCTTAAAAGATCCATTGTGGGCCACTTTATTAGAAAAGCGCATATTTATAGTGTAAATCCTAAACAAGTGGCCAAAGTAGCTTCGAGTCATCTAAAAGTGATCCCTTGACTACGTTTTGCAGCATAGCAGCCCCGTCTGTCACCCTCGTTTACACTCTTAAAAAATGGTTGTCCTTAAACAATCGGATGAGTGAAAATTTAGTCCACTCTAACTGAAATCAGTCATATTCTTTGATATTTTTCTCTTCCGGAACGGTATGATAGGACCCTTTGTTTCGTGTCAGCGGCAGGGTGAAGGCAAGGGCAAGCCCGAGTATTCTTTTATCGAGAGGTGAATCACTATTGCACTGGCATGTACAAATTAACATGTAATTAGGCCAATTTTTTTGCATGATTTGGCGTTGCGTGTCGTTTGATACGTTAAAAGGAGTCTAAATCGTTGAAGTATGTGAAATGTATTAGCTTAGTAAGGTGTACTCATCCGTACTCATGTGTACACTAGAACGCTGAGTGATTCACTCCTCGCTTTCTATATGGTGATACATTTACGTACCGTCTCTTTTCGTACTGTAAAAAATTCCGTGGTTTTGTACGGAAAATGTACCGACGAAAATGGTACGGAAGTACGGAAAACAGTACGGAACGTCCTTACTTGTCCCATAAGAACTCATGTAATCTGGTTCGGAAAAAATGTACGGAAGTTCCGTACGGACAATTATTGACCAGACATGTTCCGTACTTTTTTCTCGCAGTGCGCCTAAATTAAGTCTGTTGTGTCACTTTGAATTTCAGTGACAGTCCTCTGGGAAGCACTCGACGGCGCGACCCTGGAGTTCGACGAGGAGTTCAAGATGGCGCACGTCGACCTGGACCCCAGCGCGAACCTCGCCGCCGCCATGGACAAGCTGCCGTCGTGCCGGGCGGGACAGATGTTCGAGCCGGGCGCCGTGTTCCTCGACAGCAACGGCATCCTCGACATTTGTCTGGTCCGAGTGGCGAGTGAGGGCCTCCATGGCGCCAGGGTGCTGGGCTTCCTTCGGGGCAGCGTCGACGCCCTGAGAGTCACTCGCTGCGGCGGTCACAGCGGAGACTGCTTCTGCCGGAAGAAGACTCCGGCTCGCGCAACACTCCGCGGAGTCCGCCGCGTTGCTGGGGTCAAGCAGCCCGGCGGCGACGGCAGTGCATCCTAGCTCACTTCGCATGACCTCTATGTCGTGAACTTCCACGTGTGTCCCCAGGTTCACGCACTGGAGTTGCCCGAGCGCTCCTGCGTCGATGGCAGATCTCAGTTGATGATCGTAGGGTTCTTATTTTCATGATTGTTGCGTTTGCTCAGATGCACTGCACTGACTTATCGATATTCTCCGTAACTTCGTAGCTCTGTTCCTTTACACTGACTGTTGTAGCTTTCGTTTCGTTTAGATGCAAGCATTATGCATGTTTGATTCTCTTAATCTTGTGCACAGCAAGTGATAAAATGCGCTGGCATTGTATCAATTTGCCGTCTCACCGTGAATCGAGTCACATTGTTCATCAGACCATGTCATATTCGTTTCAACTTAGAAAGTTACACACACACACTCACGCAGAGTTTCTATCAAAAACTCGAGCCCGGCGGCGGGCCTTTTGACAGCAGGCGATCATTCATTATTTCGTGACCGCTTTACTGTCTCTGTCCCTCTTGTTTCCTGGGAGTCACAATTTCTATTTTTTGACCGAATGTGGAGGACTGAAATTTCAACGGTTGTGACTGTATTTTATGGAGTGATTATATGTTTCACGTTCTAATAAATGCAACGCCGTCTGGAATATCATTGCGTTTGCTCATATTTGGAAGCTGTATTCTGTATTGTTTATTAATTTGTGGAATCTATTTTATAAAGATAAATTCTTCTTAACATAATCCTTTCTTTTTCTTCCAAATTAAATATTTAATAAGTATATATACTGTAATACAGGGTAATGAAGCATAACGTTGTTAGCAGTAACAGTTGCATTGAATTGCTCACCCTTAGTCCAGCTGTTGAGACCTTTTAACCAATGACTGTCAATTTAAAAAGTCTCCTCATTGTAGTATTTTGAAGTTTACTGATGATCTCAGCTTCAACCAGGCCCCTGTAACTCTGGCACTTGGGACAGGAGCTGGGGAACCCTCCTTGGGGATCTATTTCATAACAACTTCGATTTTCAATATCAAAAACTGTTTCATTAAAAAATTATTGAAGTTAGTCCCATGAAGAGGCAGAATGATCAAACCAACATATGATATTATTGGTTCCAATGGATGCCTCCTTTGATAGTTAAATAATTGGTAATAATTGGTACGACTGGGTTCCCCGTTGCGTTTTACCGCCATATTTTTTAGCCCCGAGAGTTACAGGGCCCTGGCTTTAACATTTACACAGGCTCGCATTGATAAACTTTCTCCCCCTTAAGGGGGGACCCTGGTGAAAAAATCGCCAAAATTCCAAAAAATAGTATTTTCAAAGTTCATAGATAAAAATGTGCATAGAAGGTTTCAGATTCAACAGGTTGAACACCTTTAAGCTAAGTGGGTAGTTTCTTTATCATTTGGAAGGAAATAGCATTGAGATCAGTTGTCGTTGGCTTCTACGCTCAACTTCACAGCTTTGCTCAGTCGACAAAAAATTTTGTCGTAGAAAGACTTCCTGCGTTCCTGGTTGACACCTACATGAGTCGTCTTGCATGGACTCTATTCATTGATGACTTGTCGACAAATTTTAGTGACGGAATCTTGATATCAGCCCTACTTTTTTAAAAAACACACCTAAAAGTTTGAAAAAGGGAAAAAATATCACTTGTTTTAATGTTAAAATTTGAAAACTCATATCTCGGGACAGAAGTTAAATTTGAAAATTCCGTCACTAAAATCTTTTCTATACATCTTTAGGAAAACCCCAAAAAAAATTTCAAGACTTTCCGTCCCAATAAAAGACGCGGGAAGATTTTTCCCCAAGCTCCAAAAAACACTAAAAAGCCACTTTCTCAGAGACCGTTCAACATTTTGGATTGAATTTTTTTTTGGGAAAACTCACCATAATGAACCTAATAATTAAGCAAAGTTTCAACTTCCTGGGATTATTTTGAAGCCTACTTGAAAGTTTCACCAGGGTCCCCCCTTAAATCCCGCAAAACGCTGAGAATCCAAACGCTTTGAGTATAGCAGCATTGGTGCAATGCATTTGACGTTTTCATTGCACCAATGAGGTATTTTGCGATAGTAAAAGAAGATAAAGAAGAAGATGCGGCGGTAGGGGTAGAACATCAAAAAACCCTCATTTGTTTCGCGGGCATGAGGGCCCCCCACCCCCCCCCCCCCCGCAAGCGACTAAGTGCCTAAACAAATGGGGTTGGTTATGTTCTACCCGAGTAAAAATAGAAGGCTGCAGATGGCTGACGTTTGGCTGACGCATGGCTGTATGGACCGTTTTTTGGCTGTATGCAAGGCTGCCGTGGCTGCGTTGCAGCCATGTCGCAGCCATAGCGATGTCCTGGACTTGCAGCCATGCACGCTTAGGGTGTTTCACTTTTGCAAAAAGTTTCGAAATCTTATGACCGCCGGGTGAAAATTGATTTTATATCAAAAAAAAAAGTTTACGTGTTTCGGGGTTTTCCAAATTTCGCAAAATTAGAGGTCGCTCAACGCCTTTAAAAAATTTAGGCTGTGTTACTTAAGCCCAAAAATGCTGAAATCGTCAATTATTGACCGATTTGGACCATTCTAGGCTCATTTAAAAGGGTTTTTGAGCTGTACTTTGAGAATCTGCGCCCAAAAATTCGATTGGGGTCGTTTTTGGGTACAGAGCGACGTTTGTTTTTTTCAAGGCCCTAATTGCAACTTTGCGCGACTGTATCTTCTGCAGTTTAAACCGATTTTCTGCCGCGATATCTAAAAATGACCGTCAGAGTCTCCCCTTTTCAGCGGTGTGCTTGGATTGTCATTTGAAGCATTTGCCTAGTTTCTATGAGGCTCGAAGTAAGGGAGTATAGGGCGATTTGTAACAGGGGCGATTCGTAACAAATGCGTTTATATTTAAGTGGGGGAGCAGAGGAAAATCTGAGTATGGCCCCTCTTTCGCTTCAAGAAGGGGGCCTTGAACAATCGAAGCGGATGTGATCGGTGCTCAGGTATAGTTTTGGAGGGCGTCTAAAATATAGGGTGCACCGAAAACAGGCAAATATTTTATTTTGAGTTAAGGAAGTTTCTGTCTGAGGCGCCCAGGTATGAATCACCATCGAAGTACCGTTGGGGCCTCGAAGCGTGCCCCCTTTACAATGTAACCACGTGGCACAAGTTTTTTACTTTGTCCAGTGATAGTTAGGGACGTATTTCTTGCGTAGCCGGCTTTTGGGGGTGATTCGTAACAGACCCGTAAAAACAAGAATTTAAGTAGTTTTTGCAATAAAAGTTTGAATTTTTTCTCGTATCATCTGCTGCCTAATTCCAATACATTTACAAGCTCAAAATGCATTTTAAGTGAGTTTTCTATTCTTTCCTCCAAAATTGAAAAAAGTGAGGTTAGGGTTGACATAGCCGGTCATTTAATGCTGAGGCGGTCAGCGGCAGCTTGTAATGCAGATTTTAAGGCGTCTGCAGGACATCCAAAGAACAACTGTGGAGGGATAACATTCCCGACGATTTTCATTTAATGTGTAGGATGTCATGAAAAGCCCCATGGCTTTTACAAATCACCCCATGCTGGGGCGATTGTAACAGCTCGCAAGGGTTTGGAAAGCGTCTTAGATTTCAAAGATTACGGATTCCAGATTGATCCAATGGAGCTGCACAGTCTAGATAAAGGGTCAGACTGCTGAACTGGCACAAGTTTGACAGCGATATGCAGAATGTTCTTAATTTTGTATAGAGGATTCCAAAATCTGTTACAAATCGCCCCATACTCCCTTACAGATTTGCGACAAATTTTCACGTTTACCGTACTTTTCTTGGATGAAAAGTGTACTGACGAGAGCCGATCTTCGCTTTCACCCCTATTTTCAGTTGCGCATGAGCTTTTACCGCCTCAAAGCCGACTGGTGCTGCTCCATTGGCTCCAGGGACATATTTAAAAGCGTTCGATGTTGAAATCTCATTTTAGGTCAGTGCTTCTACACCTTCTATGGTTTAAAAGTCTCCCCCGACATCCCAAAACAGACTTCAAATTCACATTTTTCCGAAACTGTGGTTAAGTCTATTTTGTATCAAAAGGTGGTCAACGCCTTTGTGGATAGGAGTCTATTTGACCGGTTTCTACCGATAAAAGCTAGATAGCAAGCAACACTCTTTGGTTATAAATGGTTGTTTATGGTTGTTTTTACGAACAACTGTGAATCTTCGTGTATATACGAATAATCTAAATAATTCACGATGAATGTTCGTGGATTTACGAGGAACATTTGTAAATTACCAAGATTATTCGTGAATTCACAGAAGTGCTCTGGCTAAAATCTTCGCCAGAGGCTTCTTCGTATATTCCGAAAATTTATCTTTACAGTGAAGTGTTGGTGAAAATCATTATGGGCAGGTTGACTTTTAGCTCAGCAATAGCTCCATGGGGCCAAGACAGTGGGCACTGTGAAATCCCCTGAAAAAGTATTTAACCATAAAGAGTGTTGCTTGCTATCTAGCTCTTATCGGTAGAAACCCGGGCAAATAGACACCTATCCACAAAGGCGTTGACCACCTTTTTATAAAAATAGACTTAACCACAGTTTCGGAAAATGTGAATTTGAAGTCTGTTTTGGGATGTCGGGGAGACGTTAAACCATAGAAGGGGTAGAAGCCCCTCGTAAAAAAAATTTTAAATTTAAACATTATAAGTTAAAATAAAAATTTTATCAAAAATTTTTTAAAAGCGCTTTTATTCTATAAATTTCTTGTAACAGTTAACATAATTTTTTTAAGGCTTTTAGTTTTATAAAGCGTTACAAAGTACCGAGGACCCGCCATAAAGTGTATAAGATAGTACAAATTCCTTTTTAATTTTCATGTTACTTTGTTTTCCGCTAGATGGCGCTGCGTGTCGCTAGCGAAATTACTTCTCGGTTGTAGCTCCGGGTAGGAAAAGCATTGGGGCAGGCGGGTTCCCTCTCGTGTTTTAAGGATGTGAAGTCACTTCTACATCACTTTGAAATTTTGGCGCTTATAGGCATCATACCGATGCCTCTACCCCCCCCTGTCATTGATGAGGGGGCACTTTTTCTTGCTGATGCGACAGTTTTTATTGGAGTTATAAGATTTTTTAAAATTTGAATCTGCTTATAACGCGTTGTAATGTCATCATTACTTTTTATAAAAGTTTTTTTATAAAAACACCTTAATAAACAGTAATTACCCAGATATTAAAGGGGCAATTAAACCCTTTAAAAAAGGGGCTTATAAGCCTTTATAAAAAGGCTTCTTATAATTTATTTTTTTTAAAAATTTTTTTAAAAATGTTATGAAAATTTACCAAATTTTAAAGGTTTTTTTTTGAGGGGCGCACTGACCTAAAAATGAGATTTCAACATCGAACGCTATTAATATGTCCCTGGAGCCAATGTAGCAGCACCAGCCGGCTTTGAGGCGGTAAAAGCATCATGCGCAACTGAAAATAGGGGTGAAAGCGAAGATCGGCTCTCGTCAGTACACTTTTCATCCAAGAAAAGTACGGTAAACGTGAAAATTTGTCGCAAATCTGTACTTCGAGCCTCATAGAAACTAGGCAAATGCTTCAAATGACAATCCAAGCACACCGCTGAAAAGGGGAGACTCTGACGGTCATTTTGAGATATCGCGGCAGAAAATCGGTTTTTAACTGCAGAAGATACAGTCGCGCAAAGTTGCAATTAGGGCCTTGAAAAACACAAACGTCGCTCTGTAGCCTAACAAACGACCCCAATCGA